TTTTTTTTGTGGGGAGTTGACCTAACCCCGTCTAGGGGGGTCCTCACCCATATTGTTTTAAATATTGAAGTTAAAAGCATCAATCTGGTGCACTTTGAGAGCAAAATTAAGAGATCTATTGATCTATGTGCTCTTTGCTTGATTCATGCCTTCCCAGTCCCTTATCACGTAGCCTAGCATGGCGCCAGTTGTAGTAGCCAGTTGTGGTGAAGGCATCTGACTTACTTGAACCGAAATGTCTACATGCATAGCAAAAGATGGCATCTTTTTTTACATGAATATTCCAGCCAATCTCTGTTAATCAATCAATCAATCAATGTTTATTTATATAGCCCAATATCACAAATGTTACATTTGTCTCAGTGGTTTTCACAGTTTGTACAGAATATCAGTATGACAACACAACACCCTCTGTCCTTAGACCCTCACATCGTACAAGGAAAAACTTCCAGAGAAAACCCACAGTTTAAAGGGAAAAATGGGAGAAACCTCAGGGAGAGCAACAGAGGAGGGATCCCTCTCCCAGGACAGACGTGCAATAGATGCCGTGTGTAAATCGAAAAGATAATATATTTACAACATAGGTAGACCAGATCTTTGGAAATGCATCTGTCTATAATAAGAAGATGAATCCATGAGGATGTCAGCAATCTTGTGCGAGCCATCATGGAAGTAGTATGGTGAGAGTCAGGCAGGACCGCAGAGACAGGTTCAGCCACGACTCGAAGTCCAGGACTCAAATCCAGAACTCAGGATAGAGGATCCAGGACACACGACCACAGCAACAGGATCAGCCACGACTCAGGTAGATAGACATAAAAAAGAAATGTGTGGGAAGCTGGGTTAATCGGAACATGAGAGTACAAAGGTACAGACAGACAGAAGAAAGAAGTAAGGTGTCCCCCGACAGTCTAAGCCTATAGCAGCTAAACTAACGTGTCTACGTACATGCACTGCCTTAGGATAGGTTGAGGGAAAGGGGTAGCAAGTCCTTCTCTGGACTAAAACTTTTAATAAAGGTTTACTGTTAAGTCTTCCNCAGGTGATAAGGGCGGGGGGTTACCTTGGTTGGTGATTGGCTAATGGTTACACAAGCCAAAACATCGTTATGACATCATAAAGCCCATTTTCAGACAGGTTTTTATATAAATGGATCAGGACAAAAAGAGAGAGAATCTTTTTTCCTGAAACGTTCAGAGTCTCTTTACACAGAGGGGACACATGTTGATGTAGAAGAGACATGAAGAAGAGGGGACACATGTTGATGTAGAAGAGACAGGAAGAAGTGGATTTTGCATAATAGGTGACCTTTAAGAACAGTACTTGAGTAAATCCACTTAGTTACTTTACACCACTGAACATTTCTAATCTGAGAAGTGTCTGAATTAGGATCAATCAATCAATCAATCAATGTTTATTTATATAGCCCAATATCACAAATGTTACATTTGTCTCAGGACTTCACAGTTTGTACAGAATATCAGTATGACAATACTGAACCCTCTGTCCTTAGACCCTCACATCGTAAAAGGAAAAACTTCCAGAGAAAAATGGGAGAAACCTCAGGGAGAGCAGCAGAGGAGGGATCCCTCTCCCAGGACGGACAGACGTGCAATAGATGCCGTGTGTAAATCAAAGAGATAATACATTTACAACATAGGTAGACCAAATGTTTGGAAATGCATGTGTCTGTAATAAGAAGATGAATCCACGAGGATGTCAGCAATCTTGTGCGAGCCATCAGGATGCCCTCACAACACATAAAACCCTGCTATTGTTTTTGTTATGCTTCTGTTTTTACCCCTTTGTCTCCACAGGTGCCACAGAGGCAGCCGAACAGCCCGTTGATCATCTGGATGGCGCAGAGGATCAGCTGCAGGCCGCTGGTGGCCAGCAGGGTGGCGAACAGCCCGATGTTGAACTGCACGATGTCCTTAGGCTCGGTGCACACGCCCCACCACGTGCTGTCAGTCAGGTAACTTCGGTCACTGTGGAAAACAGGAAGTCACTCATCAGCACGGTTGGGAGGGTTACTTTAAAAGGTATTCTGTTGCAATTACTAGTAACCGAAGAACCAAGATATTGAGTATCAAAATGTGTTTTCTGTCAGAGATTGTATTTATAGGGAAAGCTGCCTTTCATGAAGCATATTCAGGCAGTAGCCTATACACCAACAAAGAAACACATGAGCACACACTACAGGTAAAAAAGGAGAAATAATATCTGAGCTGACAGAAAATGCTCCTTTATTTTAATACATACAGTTAAGCTCACACACACTATTTTATGAGCATATGCTTCAGTAATAAATCAAATTCAGGCGTATAGATTCACACTTAGAGTATTAGTTTACAGAAGAGTACAGCTTAAAAGAAGAAATTCAATCTGCTCCTTTTAAAACAAACAAGTTATACTCTTTTTAGTTTTTTAGTAACATTTTAATCCTGTATCCTGATTACATCATCCTGTTACACGTAATCTCCCAAAGCCTGGTGATCAGGACTTTAGAACGTTATTAGAACGTTCTGATAACAAATGTCATCAGAACTTCAGTGTCTATTTCTATTCTATTTTATTGGTATTTACTTGCACTATTTTAACTATGTTATCAGTGTTATTGTGTTGCACTGTTGGAGGAGCCTGTGACCTAAGATTTTCATTGCTATATCTGTAGCTATGTACACATGACAATAAAAGCCTTGAATCCTTGAATCTTGAAAAAAGTGTCTCACCCGTCTTTGAAAGGTGTCGACCAGATCAGAATGACTTTGCAGAGAGGTCCATTCTGCAGACCGACCACCGCCACGATGAAGCTGTACAGAGCGCCGGCCACACCCACCGCAGCGAAGGCAATGGAGAGGAACATCTGCAGGAGGAAGGGCAAAGGTCAGAAACGTCTCTGTGCAACACATCGCTCATTCATACTGAATTATTCCCCATGTTTACTCTTCCACTCCTTGCTCACATTTTTGTCGGGCAATTGATGAATTAGTAATTTATGTGTTTAAGGAGGACAGGCACGACTTTTGTTTCTCTCGAATTCCTCACATTTCAACTCTCACAGCTGCTTTTCACAACACTTACAGGGTGAGTGACAGGCTGCACCAAACCCGCCGAGACATGTTTCTCATCAGCGAGGTTGGTTGGTGACATTTGTTTTATCTGAAGCAGGTTCCCATACTATTCCCTGTACTGCTATTATTATAATATACACTTCTGCAATTATACGGAATATGTTATCAGAACCTCTTAAAAGCTCTAAAAACTTGCAGGTGTTGAACTTTAAATATTCTTGTTCTGAAGGCTCAATCATGTATTACATGATCATGCTTTCCTACCTACTGTCACGATATTCATGTTATGTCACGTTTTTATGTCTAGGTTTGGGTGTTTTGCTGTTCTCCCTGTCATGTTTTCCTCCTGGTTTATTGTCTGGTCCTTTTCCCTGTGTTTTTCCTCCTGTCGTTAGTTTCCCTGGTGTGTCTGATTGTGTTCACCTGTAGCCCTTGTGTTTCTCCTCCCCTGCCCGGCTGTTTCTCGTCTTGTGATTACCCCTCCCTGTATTTTTAGTCTTGTCTCTTCCTGTGTTCGGTGTCGGTTCATTGTTTGTCTTTCCTGTCTCCCTCCATGTTGGTCACGGTCAGTTCTGTTTGTTAATGCTACCTTGTGCTACTGGTTTAACAAACAGAACTGACCGTGACCAACATGGAGGGAGACAGGAAAGACAAACAATGAACCGACACCGAACACAGGAAGA